AAACCACGTCCAATTATGTCAATAGATTCACAGTAATTATGCTAACAAATGCTTGAAGAAAGCATATGACCATCCCCCCTGGTTTTCCTGCTCAGTCATTAGAGAAAATCCAGTATAAGGGATGGGCCTTCAAAGATTGGCTTTGTCCAGGCCATCAAAGTAAGGATGCTGCATGGCCGCTTTCGCTGAAATCCTCCTGGACGGTTCATACTGCAACATTTTCTGTAGAGAGAGAGAGAGAGAGAGAGAGAGATGAGTTCAGTCTAAATTGAAAGGCAAGGCTTTGACATTAAAGGGATAATGGGTGGTAAGTTTGGGACTGGGGTTTAGAGAAATGGGATATATTTTTTACTTACAGAAAGCAGGTCTAGACCACTTCGTTCCAAACCAGGAACAGCAGAGACCAAATCTTTAGGGTTCAGAGAAAAGGGATATATTTTTTACTTACAGAAAGCAGGTCTAGACCACTTCGTTCCAAACCAGGAACAGCAGAGACCAAATCTTTAGGGCGCCACTGTGGATACTCATGCCAGTTTGTTAGTTTGCTTACACCAGGCCACATTGCATCATCAGGAGTTCCAAGCAATCTGAGAGAGAGAGAGTAAAAACAGAGGATGAAAATAAAGGGCTTGGTAGTGATAATCACTTAAGACAATGCAGAGAGTGTGTGTGTAGTGTTTGAGAGAGAGAGGGAGAGCATAACTAGCAAAGTGAAAGCAATGCTTAAAATTAAAAAGTAAAAGAATACAAGGGGAAAGTAGAGCTTGGGTTATGTGTTATGACCTGAATATGTGGAGAAGCTGCTGCAATTCAGAATCTCCTGGAAAGAGTGCTTGGGTTGTGACCAATTCAGCTGATAACAATAGAATCTCCCCATTAAATTCTCAGTAACGGTTTTGAAAAGAGAGAGAGAGAGAGAGAGAGAGAGAGAGACCAAATACGCATCCGATTGACCATATATCAACTGGAGTTGAATAATGAGTAGCACCCAGAAGCACCTCAGGAGCTCTATACCAGAGTGTCAAAATCTGCATCAAATATATTGCATTAATCAATGCCATGGCATATCTTTTTTTCCCACTAAAAAAACGCATTTAACATCTATTCTCAAACTTCTGAATAACCTGCAAAATTATTCATTGAACAAAATTGGTTTCGTTGATTGAATTGCCAAGTCATCTGTCTCAAAATTTAAAAGCAAAAGACTAAATAAGTGATTCTCAAGAGAAATTTTATGAACTATTTACTCAAATTCTACAGTTTCAAAGTGACTCTCATTGAAATTTTGAAAAGGAATGTGCGCGAATAGTGTGTTCACCTCATGTGTGTACTTTTTAAGAGGGACTGTGAAAGATCTGCTAAGCCCAAGATCTGCTATTTTAAGCCTTCCAGTCTTTCTGTCCATTAAGAGATTGTGGGGCTTCAGATCCCTGCGATTTCAGAAGAGATAAGCACCATTGTGAGAGAGAGTGAGAGAGAGGCTTCAAAAACCCTCTGTTGAGGGTTGGGCAAATGTCAGAAAATTGTAAACAGCAAACAAAAACTAAATATGAGAGAGAGGAGGGGAGAGAGAAACCTGTGAAGAACCCCATGACCATGGCAGATTGCAATTCCTTTGCACAGCTGGTACATCAAGCTCTGTTTCCCAAAGCAATCAATATGAAAACCATAACCTTCAGATGCCTTTCCATAAAGAAAATGGAACCAAAACTTCATTTTATAAATACATTAGCTCAACCATATCAAAGTTAATAAAAATAAAATAAAAAAATCGAAAGTAGAATCACGCTCAAGAAAGCTTTAAACAGGTAAAAAAAGGGAAAAAAATGCTTGGGCATAATTTATTTATATCTTTTCTCATTGGCAATTAATTTCATGTCATGATAAATCATCAAAACACAATATGTTAACATACAAGAAGGAAAATGTGTACCTTCACCATTTCAGGTGGCACTTTCTTGCCTTCATTGCGAAAGCTTTTGATGTACTTCTTGAGATCGGTATCCATGTATTCAAAAACCAGGTAAAGAACAGTCCTCCCCTCCTTATTGTGGCTTTGCTTCAAACTTAGGAGCCTGGAATTATTATTAAAAGAAAAAAACTGTCAAAACCAAGAGAGGGAGAGAGAGCCCAAATCAGAGAAAACCTAGAGAGAGACCCGAATCTGTCAAAACCTAGAGAGAGACCCAAATCTGTCAAAACAGAGAGAGAGAGAGAGAGAGAGAGAGAGATTTGTCAAAACTTAGAATTAAATCGGTCAAAACCTTGAGGAAGACCCAAATCTGTTAAAATCTAGAGAGAGTGTGTAAAACCTAGGTTTGAAAGAAAAAAATCTGGTACATGAAAAGAACCCAAAGAGTCAAAGAAAGGAAGAGGAAGAAGAATCTGGTGACGATGACAAGACCCATTTGAAGAGATAAAGAATCAAAAACCATACACACTAAGGTAGATAGATAGAAAAAACATAACGATTTACAGGGAAATCAATGGAGAGAGAGAGAGAGAGAGAGAGAGAGAGAGAGAGAGAGAGAGAGAGAGACGACGTACGATAAGTAGGTAGGTACGTACGAGTAGGAGGACGTACGTTATTACGTAGACGGACGGTAACGGTACCCGTACCGGTAACGGGGTACGGGTA